GGGCGGGCAGCGCTCCCGCTCGGGGGAAGCCGGGGCGCTCCGGGCGGGCAGCGCTCCCGCTCGGGGGAAGCCGGGGCGCTCCGGGCGGGCAGCGCGGCCGCCCCGGCCCCTCGCAGCCCTCCCCCGCCCCGCTCCGCGCTGCTCCGGCAGGAACCCGCCCGGCGGCGCGGACTGACCCGGGCTTTCCCCCCACGTCCCCTCCGCACACTCACCCGCCGGCGGCCGCCGCTCCGAGCCCGACATCGCCGTGGAACAAGGCTGCACACCAACACCAGCCCAGCCGTCCCTTCTCTTCGTCTTCCGGGCTCCCCCCGGTCAGCCCGGCCCCGCGCCTTTTGTTTGCGCGGGCCGCCTCCCCAGGGCCGGGGCGGAGCCGAGCCAGCGCCAGGGTGAGGTGTTAAACGCGCTGTGTGACCCTTGTGCTCCTGGGGTGCTGCTTCAGAGACCGTGGTCGAGGAACTGCACCGGCTTGTACAAAACCACCGTCCTGAAATACGGTGACAGCCTCCCGTATTCACTTAGTTTAAATTTTTCAAAACTGTACTCAAATTCCCATTTCAGACACATAGTGTTTTCTTTCCTGAACGGCTCCTATTCCTCAAACTGCGTTTCCATTCGGGCACCCGCACACAACCCTTGAGAGGTTTGGATGTGTGGATCATCCTGCAGCTTTGCTCTGTTCTTGCTCTAGTTCTATCTGATGATTTCGGAACTCAGTGACAAGGTATTGACCAGAGTGCCCAGGTGTCTTAACGAGTATTCCCCAACCGGGAATTATGTGGCACTTACCGGTGGCTGATCGATCGCATAATATGTTTCTAAACCAAAGCCAATGACAAAAACCCCTTCTTCTGTGTAAGAGCTTTAGAGATTGTACCCAAAAAGGGATCTGAATTTTTTATCCAGACTACTTTTAGGGAGATAAACTCAGATATGAATGTGCACTTCAAGGAGTGCTGCTACAAGCACAAAAAGAAGCAGATTTAGAGTGGCATTTTTACCTGGTCTGGTTTTACTCAGGCTTCCTGCATGGGTACAGATTTTAGACAAGACGTCTCCCTTTGATTAAAGGAGCCATGAGGCATTAATTGCCTTAGCTTGTTTTTGTCTTGTTTTGACTTGTTACCTTACACTGCCGGTATGCAGCTGGATCAAGAGAGAACTTTGTTTCAGTTATCTTTGTGCATACTCTAGTCAGAATGTGACTATCACAAAGTTTGCGTCTTATATTGAGTAACATTTACACCCCTACCAAACAGACTAATTTTTTGCCAACTGCAGATCCCAGCTCTCACAGCTCACACTAGAGCTGCCCCTGAACCCACTGGCAGCCAGACTCTCGTGTGAAGTTCTGCAGCTGCAGAACCAAAATCCAGGACTCTGTCAGCCGTGTTCCTCAGTCGAAAAGTTTGCCTAGATCCTTGTAAGACAGTTTTCTTCTCCTTTGTTTTGCTGGAGGCTAAGAGCAGGCTCAGCCACTGTTGATTCACTCTTATCTTGATCACAGTGTGTGCAGCCCGAGGTAGTGTGCTGGGCTGGTGTGCATTTTCAGCTCATTTTAATACATAAAAGTTTTATTGTGAGACGTGCCTATAAGTTGAGAAACTTTTAGATTGTAGGTGGGTATTTTTTGGAAGAAGCATTAAGGATGGGAACTACAGGATGATAAAGCTAGTTTGATTGTGAGCACACTGCTGTACAGTATTACTGACTACACAAAAACATGCAGTATTAAATTAAATGAGCCGCTGTCTATAGTATTGTTATGCTTCAATCTAACACAAAGCTAAACACCACGGAGCTGTTCACTCACTGCCCCCAGTGGGATGAAGGAGAAAATCGGAAAAAAAGGCAAAGACAGTTTAAAGGATAGAAAAGGAGGGGAAAATAGTAACAAAAGGATATACAAGACAAGTGACAGACAGTACAGTTGCCCACTGCCCACTGATTGATGCCCAGCTAGTCTCCAAGGAGTGATCAGTGCCCCTCCCTGGCCAACTATCCCCAGTTTTATTGTTCAGCATGATTCCATATGGTGTGGGCTACCCCTTGGGTCAGCTGGAGTCTGCTGACCTGGCTGGGTCTGCTCCCAAATCCTTGTGTACATTGGCCTCCTCGCTGGCAGGGCAGCAGAACCTGTGATTTATCAACATTATTCTCATCCTCAAACTAAAACACAGCATTGTATCAGCTGCTAAGGAAAACATTAACTATAACTGCCACAACCAGGACAAGCATTACATTTTTCATATATTTATAAATATGTAAGTTCTTAAATGAACTTTAGGTCCTAGGGGTGATAGCTAGCCTTCATCTTAGGACTATGGTCTGCAAAATGCATTTTGTATAACTTGCAGGTAACTCTATAATCAGGGATTTCTGTTAAAGGAAAAGCTTGTGCAAAGTAAAGACTACCTGGAAGAAGTGAAATGCCTCCTTGTGGTTTGCAAGCAGAACTATCAAAGTGCTATCCAGCAGTATTAAAGCTCTTTTTAGTGTTTTACATGGTTTGAGAGAAACTCCAGGAGGCTTTCATGGTATAATTACAGGTCAGTACAGGAGGGAACAAAACCCAGCTCCTTCCAACAGTGAAAATTTTGTGTTGTTGTGGTTCAACCTCAGCCATTGTACATACACAGGCAGACAAGGAATGGGGAGAAGGAGAATCAGAAAAAAGTATAACTCATGGGTTTAGGTAAGAACACTTCAGTAACTGAAATAAAGTAAACAAATGAAAATAATAGTAAAAATTAAAATTATATATAGAGAGATGAACACTAAGCTCTAGGGACAAACAAAAAACACAACTGGTAAAGAAAATCCACAAAATTATATCACATTATAGTCCATGAGTCCAGTGAATTTTATGCATTTAATTTCTCCACAGATGCAATATTTTAATTTTTATTCAACTTCTGTGAATAATTAAAGCAAATAATTATCTTTATAACAGAAGACCTAATGCAGAAGTTAACTAAGGACTGACACCTGTAGATAAGCAACAAGTACAGGGAGTACAGAGAACAAATGCAAAATAATTCAGGCATCAGGTGATTTTAGCTAGAGAAGTCAGAGAGGGAACAAGTAACAGAAGTACAAGCTTATATATTCATCAGCCTCACAGAGGGCATCATAAATAAATTTGTTTTTTGGGCACTCTGATCTTAACTGTGGAACTTGCTTTTAGTTTTCATCAGAACACACTAAATGAAAGCAAAGATGAATACAGTACCCAAGTTGTGCCACAACAGAAATATAAATCAACATATTTGTACATATATCCTTTCCGTTCATATAATACACAGCACAAAATGTTTTATTCAAAACCAGACATTTGATGAATTTTTAAAAAACAATACAGAAACTACATTTCACCATTCTGTCAAATCAAAAGTATATCCTTAGGCTGCAAACTGTTCATTTTACTGGACAGTCCTTAAAAGGATCAATGTATTTGATCTGAAAGGTGCTGCAATAGTAAGGCATCGATATAGAATCAGGTAGAAAGATGTAGTGCATGTACCTTGGCTTGGGGCGTTTTCCTGGCTTTTTAACAACAAACCTGCAGGACCACAAACATGAGAGAGAACTCAAGGCAACTGCAGCAGAAACACGCAGGTGTAGGCTATGTAAGATGTCTCATACTGGTACACACAACACACTCTTTCCTGTTGAACCCATCAGATGCTTCAACTACTAGTAAACCTAAAATTTGACCTGTATTAAAAATCACCTGAGAATTCCATATAACTCTTTGGTGCCTCTGATGTCTCCACTGTGGAGTCTTCCTGGGAACATTAAAATGGCACCAGTGTTTTACAACAGCACATACAGGTGCACATACACCAAAGGAAAACAGTTTCAGTTCCCAAGCTTCTGGCATAAACTGGAGAGAAGGACGACTTGTTTCTTTTTTACATGAATGAGAATATCATAGTGATCCTCAAATCAGTAAATTCATGTCGGTGTTTAATGTATCACTGTCTGAAAAGTCTAAAGGTTTGTAACCAAAGCCTTGCTTCATTTTGCCTGGATCTTTGGCTTTATTCTACACCATGATATCTTGGTGTCTTCTTTCAGAGATCTGTCTTGCCCTCATAATGACACATACAAGCAGCTCTCTGGCTGTCCAGGTATGGTTTGCATCCCAAATGTATAACTGCATCAAACAGCAGCTGAACAGTTGATTCACAAGCTGCAAGCAAAGAAGAGTTCAGTTAAAAAGTACTCTTCAAGTGGAATATGAAACTAACAGGAGAAAACTCTAGCAAATTGAGAATGACACTAAGAAAGAAGCAATCTTCTCTGGGCGAAGCAAATAGATTCTCAAATGAAAGACTGAACCAACACACAGTCATTTAAATTTTGAGTAAAGATTTTTTTATATGCCAAACAAAATGAAAATTCATTGCACATGGATTGTTATCTGTGTTGGAAACATCCTGAGTCTTGGAAGATGAAAGAGCTGGTTATGGTTCTCACTCTTTGCATCCCAATTGATGTGGAGGTTGCTATCTTTAACATCAGCTCAAAAGAATTGAACAACTATTCACCAGTTCTGACACTGAAGACTAACACGACGATTTATTTAGAGTTAAATAAATTTAAGAAGTTTAAACAACACAAGGTTGTTCTAAAACCTTACTGCTCTCAGTGGGAGTATTTACTATGAAAGTAACATTGTCCAAGTTAAAAAGCGGTTATGTCTTGTACCCATTAGATCTAAGACAATGACCATAATAAATATAATATGGCCTGCTACAGAGAAACCTAACATTTATTCACTAGGGGACAGCCTACTACTACTAATTAACTACTACTACTACTACTACTATTAACTACTTCCACTATGACAGTATATTATTTTAACACCTTATTTCACAACAGGGAAAGATTCCGTATTTTCCTACAGTTTACTAGCAACCACACATAGAAGTTTAGAAATCACCCAGCAGAACAGTCATGTTAAAGCTATGTTACAGTAAATACAAGAATTACACATGCATTTTGATCAAGTTGTATTCCCATATTCATACTCTCAAATGGGTGGCATTATTTTTTCTCCTAAAGTTAAAACTAACCTCAACTCCAAGTTAGTATTAATGCTCATCATTTTGCTATGCTGTGTCACTGCTCTGCTGTACAAGCATCTGGGCTGCACAGCAGAGGGACAGAACAAAGCATCCTTCAGCAGCTTATGAAAACGTGGCCTTGCTGCACTGCACAAAGATTCTTTGCCAAGTTAAGCTCAGGTTAAACTTGAAAAAAAAAATAAAGGCTTTTTCACCCTTACCCTGGACACTCTCTGAGATTCCAAGCGTTTTCTGCACATCTCTGCAAATTTTTGAGAGGC